GSCSRAMSGKWRGRAARTAGAATAAAGTACAGTGCAATGAACGGTASGTACCCGTCCGCTGCCGTACGAGTACGTACGTACGGYACTGTAGAGATCTTTTTTTAACATTTACCGCACGTACGTGTAGGGAGCAATAGCCAAACTTGCAAAACTTGGATTTTACTTACTTTTGGTTACGTTCTACTAGTTGTACMGTACCCGCTCTGCCSCTGGGTTCTGATCGAGGTTTCTGTTTTCTGCTTCATCACATCATATTGCTGTTAGGGTAGTTTAGTATCAATAGCTAGACTTCCTAAACATTCGTCATCACCATGAAGATTTCGAGCGTTGCCCTCTTGGCCTTTGTGGCCGTGGAGAGAGCGAATCCCGCTTTCTCGTTTGTGACTCCTAGTAATAATGCTGGCGCCACTAGGAGCGGTGTTCGTTCTCTGGCCGTAGACATGGCAGCGGAAACCGACGTTAGCTCGTCGGATGTGTCTATTCCRTATGATGCGGCTGCCGAGTTGGCGTACAAAGATTGGATATCCAAATTCGATAAGCCRTATGATGCAGAGCGGTACAATGTTTTCCTCAGTAATTACAAAGCCATCACGGTGATGAACATCTCGGCCAAAAAGAAGGCTCGAGAAGACCCCGAGAGCGGAAGCCCCTCTCTTTTGTCTCTCAACGAATATGCCGATTGCACTGCTGAAGAATATGCGGCCGCAATGAGTGGCGATTCTAAGCCTTCTGCGGATGAATCTTCCAGCGATGCTGAAGAATCACCAGCATCCACGGGAAACATCTTGGGAGACGCTGTCAAGGCAGTTGAATCGCAAGCCTCTGCTTCATCTGCTTTGCAGGAAGCTGCTGATGCACTGGAAGCCGAGGAAGAGGTAAGTAGTAATGATATCGCTAGACCAATTTGAATGCTTTCCACTGCCCTTTTTTGTKGCAACATCGACCGTTTTCCGTGGTTTCGAGAAGATGGGTGGTCAACAGATGAGTACTTGTTTTTTTTCAATCTTCTTGCATCTCACGTGTCTCTTGCGTGTCCTGAATCGATATTTTCAAAACAAAAGAAATTGGCCGCCCAGCTTGGTTTGGACAGTGTCGAAGAATTGGAAGACGCTATGGACTTCCTTGAGGGTATTGATTCCGAAGGGGTTGAAATGGACGATGGCGATATGGCTCGAGAAGCACGAGTACGATCAGCGTAYATGGACTGGTGCAAGGAATTCAGTAAGGAATCCGACGAAACTCGCTTCAAACAATTTTTCAAGAACTTTTTGGAAATGGAAGATTTCGCGAAAGAAACAGGAAAGGAAATGATCCTGAACGAGTTCGCTGATTTCACGGAAGCCGAGTACGTTGCCATGCAAAATGGAGAGACACCAGAAGTAGAAGCCGTAGAAAAGGTAGAAGAGATCGTAATCGAAGAGGAGGTTGAAGAGATTGTGGTCGAAGAGGAGGTTGAAGAGATTGTGGTCGAAGAGGAGGTTGAAGAGATTGTGGTCGAAGAGAAGGCCGAGGACGAAGAAGTGTCTAAAGCTGCTGCCAAGGCCGCTGCCTTAGCAAAGGCTGCCGAGGAAGCCGCGAAGGCAGCTGCCGAAGCCATGGCTGCAGCCGAAGCCGCTGCTAAGGCTGCCGCCGAACARAAGGCCGCCGACGAAGCTGCYGCCAAKGTTGCTGCCGAARAGAAGGCTGTTGAAGATGCCGAAGCGAAGGCAGAARCAGAAAAGGCCGCCGCTATTCAGGCCGAGAAAGACGCRGCTGCAAAAGCTATTGCCGACAAGGAAGCTGCCATCCAAGCCGAGAAAGATGCCGCTGCAAAGGCTATCGCCGACAAGCAAGCCGCAATCAAGGCTGAAAGGGAAGCAAGGATTAAGGCCGAGGAAGATAGGAAAGCTGCCATGCRGGCCGAGAAAGGTAAGTCGGTCAATGCGCAGAGAACGCAACGGACGCTCTCACAGCAACGAYGGTACAGTTTGAAAACAAAACATTCAGCTCAACATTCATAGCTAACGCGGCAACTTTGGATGATTATTTTTTTGTTATGCATTTTTGTGCAAATGTACAGCTCGTCTTGCTGCTATGACTGAYGAAGAACGACGAAAAGAAATTGAGAAGGGAATTGCTGCWCGCCAGAGTGCGCAAGCGAAGGAAATYGAAAAGGCTGCTGCGGCTCGTGAAGCAGAAGTCATCGCAGCAAACTTGGCGGCTGCCAAGCTTGAGGCGGAAAAAGCTGCTGCYGCTCGCGCCATCCAGGATGAGGCCGGTGAGATCGCACGCGCCAAAGCACAGGAATGGGAAGAAAAGCAAGCGAAACTCAACAAAGGTAGACAAACTGTTGCGAAACTACCGACTCCCCCTCAAAAAGCCCCCCCTCARAAGCCGGCAACACCAGTAGCGGCAAAAGCCTCSAAACCAAGACCCACGCTGAATRTTGGATCTTTCTTCGSAACTCCCGAAAAGGCAAAACCAGCCGCCCCCAAGGCCAAGACTGTGGCTCCTACCGCACCAAAGGTAGCACCACCGAAAAAGGATCCTCCGGCACAAAAAGCTATCAAGACTTCCAAGCCCCGACCAACATTCAGTTTGGCAGGTCTTTTTGACAGCAGCAAGGCAGCTCCTGCTCCYAAGAAAAAGGAAGCTCCAAAGCCAGTCGCGAAGAAACCAGTTGTCCAAAAAGCTGCACCAGTGGCGAAGAAACCAGTTGTGACCACTCCAACCCCAGCGCCCAAATCAGAACCACGGCCCACGTTGAGTTTGTCTTCCCTATTCGAATCAAAGCCTGCTGCGCCTAAGAARGCCCCTGCGCCAGCACCTGTTAAGGCTSCATCAAAACCTGCACCCGCTCCCGCTATGTTTAMATTCAACAAACCGGCTGCRAAGAAGGCTCCCACACCAGCACCCGCCCCTGCAATTGTGAAGAAGACCCCTGCCCCCGCCTTCTCGTTCTTCGGAAGCAAACCGGCCCCWAARAAGGCCCCGGCACCGGCTCCTACCCCGCAGCCCGTGAAGAAGGCACCTGCACCTGCTTTCTCATTTTTTGGAAGCAAACCGGCATCCAAAAAGGCCCCCGCGCCGGCCCCTGCACCCGAACCTRTGAAAAAGCAACCCGCACCCACCTTCTCYTTCTTCGGAAGCAAGCCAGCACCCAAGAAGGCTCCTGTCCCTCCACCTGCTASTGCACCGGCCAAGAAACCAGTGAACTCTTTCTTCAACGCTCCGAAGCCTGCGGCGAAAAAGCCGGTGGCCAAGAAGCCTGTTGCGAAGACACCTGTCGCCAAGAAGCCTGTCGTGAAGAAGGCCGCTAAACCAAGTCCTACTCTATCTCTGTTTGGATCGAAAGCCAAAGCAAAACCTGCGCCTGCCCCTGCACCCGARCCCGCTGCAGCACCCAAGAAGTCTTCCAGCTGGTTTGGTTCACCAAAGCCTGCGGCCAAGAAACCTGTAGCTGAAAAACCTGCTGCACCGGTCAAATCAACGCCCAAGCCGCGCTCGACTCTGTCCCTATTCGGATCAAAAGCAAAGAAGCCCGAGCCTAAACCCGAGCCTACGCCTGAACCGAAGAAAGCTGCATCCGGCTTCTCCTTTTTTGGAGGTGCCAGTCAAACGAAGCCTGCTCCTAAGAAGGCAGCTCCTGCAAAGAGCAAGGTTGCCCCHAAGAAGGCAGCACCTGTAAAGGATTCCATTCCTGTCCTATCGAAATGGGTACAAAACGCTGATGGCTCCATCACTGGGTTGGTAAGTAACTCCGATAGTTTCCGAACCGGCACGAAAATCACAACATCGCCTGTCCGTAAGGGCGCCCAGGGCGGAACTATCGTAAAAACTGGATCTGGAAGCCAATATCGATTGAACTAGATATCGAATTGCAATGATTGAGTCGATGTTATTATTCCTTATTTGTCATCGGATGAACTATTAAATAATGTAAAAAATCTAGAACGATGACTGATATGATCTAAGATGTTGACAGAAAGCTATTACGCGAGTAGCATTCCATGGTACACCTTTGAGGTGCTCCACCCRCCCATTTTATAGTTCCTTAGGTACTGTAGATGTTTTATGTGTGAATCTAACTCCAAAATAAATGAAATCAACACTACTATGGGTTGTAATACTAAACTCTACAGGTAAAAATTGAAAATACAGACGTAGTTGTACGACCACAACAGGACCTCTAACTCATTTCCTCGTTTTACAAATGGTGACAAAAACTCCTTTCCTTGCATGGTTTGGTTTTTAGTCAATTGTAAACTCATTTCCTTGCATTTTTCCAATTTTCTAAACTCATTTCCTTGCATTCCCTGAGTAATCAAAATTATGGCGTTAAACAACATGCAAAACACCAGTATCAATTAAGAGTTGCCTTTAAACAACAGG